TTGTTTCATAACAACTGTTGAAGTTTAAAGTTTATAGATTCAGATTTCTAAACTGTCACCTTTAAGTGTAAATGGAGGAAGGACTTAAACTAGCTTCAAACACGGATTAGCTGTTTTGAAACATAGAAATCGCCCGTAGATTCAACGAAAAAGTTTAAGGGATTACTTTTACTTTTGCGTTCCAAAGTGTGAACTCTGTAATGCGATGTAACTTTACAATTTGTTGAAAGCTCTCTTGGTCTCATAAATCAATATTTATATTTTTTATGTTTGCTTTTCACCAATCACCATATACCACCCCGCACATTCAAGCTACCGATAATGTGTACAAGGTTACTTAATGCGACGTCAGTAGGTGTTAATTTGAATAATAGTCAACGGGGTTATGTAAAATGCAGATGAATAAGGGTTTATTTAACGGTCAATCGATCGTAATTTTATGAATATTCAGTCCGAAACATTACTTTACGAGCTAGATAGTTAAAGCACACCAGCAGAAGTCGCATGTTTCGATTTTGCAACCCAGCATTTAACACTGCGAAATCCGTATTTTTCTATTATATAGTAGAGCAAAATGGACAAATCTTCAGTACATCTTGCAGATTAGAAAATCCCTTTCACCCCAAGCAGCTAACGTTGCAGAGTGGCGTCATATAAAAATAATTTAAATTATTATTAAATTATTTACGCTATGGTGGCGTATAGGTGTGACTGAATAAATCTGTTAGTGTTAGTCTAGACCTTGAACCTGCCTACCTAATATCTGCTTGCTACCTTAACGTAATAGTTTCAATGGGAAACCCTTTCATTAAAAATTATTGGGTGGAGTGTGTATCCAAACTTTGAAGTTTATTATTTGTAATGCTCTTAACTTAGGGTATATGTTTTTCGGCTTGGATCATTTTCTATATTTCCAGATAAAATTAACGATAACGTTGACCTATATCCTTGATTATCTGTTGTAAGAATCAGAGAAAAAAGATAAAACGAATAAAAGAAGTTAGGGTAAGATAAGAGACGAGTATAATATGTAGAGGGGATTTATTATAGGTAGGTAAACAGGGTAGTTTATGGGCTTCTGTAGGGATCTAGGGTTGTTCGGCCGGAAACAGATTAGAAACGTGAAATGATGTTACCAGGTGGTATAAAAATTGAATCTAAAAGGGGGACGAAGTAAACGAAAAATCCCATTCGGCTCAGCCAATCAGGTATAGGTAGATTTCTTTCCGTGGCGGAATTGGTTGAAATATGTATGAGTTACCCTTAACGTTTGGTCGAAATCGGTTCACAATTACGAAGGTTAGAGTGTTTCTTGGAAGTGATGCATAAACCTATAAATATACTGGTACCATTACATTAGGTAGATAGATAAAAATCTACCTAAAATCCAAACAAAATCGTAATTAGAAGATGGTAGAGGCTAAAGTAGAGGCCCTCGATGTACGGCTGATCAGATATATGTACAGGGTGTCCCTAAAAGGTCTGTACAACGCGCTACCAGGGGTTCTTGGTATCAAAATAGAACGATTTAACCCAACTTACCTCTATCCAAAAGTGCTTCGGTAAGGCGCTATCTACCGCCAAAGATTTAAAAAAAAAATTTTTATTTTTATTTTATCGGAAAATGGTTTTGCCGATTAAAATGAAATTCGGGATGTGAATGTCTGATGTAAAAAGGGTCCTTGTGATATCACCGTTTTGATTGTAGTTGCTATGTAGGTGGTAAAATACTGACCATCCGCATCTGAAGACGTCTAAAACTTTTTAACTACTGTTTTGACAGTTCTGAATTTTTGGACACTGAGAGACAGTTTACTTGCAAGCATTTTTTGTCTCTTGATGAATATCGCTCTCTGTGATGGTTTACGAAAAAAAAAAATTTAAGCATGATGAATGGCATGCACCATACATGCGATTGTTCCTCAAAAAATCAGAAGATGGCTGTGAAACCTTAGAGTGGCGTACCGTTTGTTTGTTGTTTCTTAAACATTAACAATTTACGTTTTGCTTGAAGATTTAAAATTTCATTGTTAAAATTGTAGTATGGCCTTTCACACGGTGCAGACGGAGCCACGAGGCGAGTTCGCTCCCGCGTGCGCTCCTTGCCCGTGCGTGCTGCCCCGTCCGTCCGCCGGAGAAAGTCGCAATCATGCTCGGTCGCGATCCGATTCGAGGACACCGCCAGGCGGGGAGTTTGACTGGGGCGGTACATCTGTCAAAGAATAACGCAGGTGTCCCAAGGCCAGCTCAGCGAGGACAGAAACCTCGCGTAGAGCAAAAGGGCAAATGCTGGCTTGATCCCGATGCTCAGTCACATTATTTATTTAAAAAAATACAAAATGATTGATTCAATACAGTAATAATAAGATATATACATACATATATACAAAAAAATAGAGTTTAAGTTTCACACAATGAATGAATAATTGGAAAAGATACAGTACTGTTTTTTGACGGAACAGGATATACTATGAATTTCCCTATTAATGTTGTAGCAGACCAAACTTCAAATTTATTGGACAAATTATTAATAACGAATATATTTAATTTTTTCGACTCAAATGGATATTTATACAATGAAGTTTTAGATTTAAATTGTTTCCCAACCACAAATATTTCATTTTTTACATTAACTAGAATGTTATGAATTTGCACAACGGCATTGTTACCAATGATGCAGTAAGAATCAGCATTTCGTTTAAACTGCTTAAAATCATTGATGGATTTATCACTTGGTAATGGACCATTGCAATGATCATGTTGTACTAACAAGGAATGTAATGGATTACTTTCTTGCACAGTAAAACTAAATTCAAGCTCCAAAAGTCTACGACATAGTTGTTGTAATGGTTTGCGAGGAGATTTTATCAAAGATTTTAACCTCCCTAAGCAATTCTCAAAGGGAAAGGCTGAAAAGTTATCCAGTGCTCCAAATAAATCCACGTCATCACTGATATGACAAAGCATATGGACATTATATATTAAAAATTCTTCTCCGTACACACTTTCACAATGTTGTATAAACAAAATTAATAGTTCCTTTGCTAATGCAGTTCCAAGATTTGAAATATGTTTGGAAGAGATCAAAATTGTAATTGAACTGTGCAACAGCAGAAACTGTTCATAAAGCGAAGGATCAATTAAGTTATTTAGTACAACAGGCCCTAAATAAAGTAAAAAGGATCGAAACTCTGTGGCCTTCCATCGCTGCAATTCTGACAATGAGCGCGGTTTTCTATTAAATTCCACAGGAATGTAGTTTCGTAATGATTCAAGACGAGCTGACATTGCATTTATTGTTTTTGAACCTAATCTTGTTGGTAAGGGGCCACTCATCCAAAAATTTAATAATTTGCGCATTACCCCTAGACAGATATTGTGCATGTAATCTATAGGAAACTGGCTTACTAACCCAATAGGTAGTTTAGTTAATGGAGACACACCAGTGTGATGTTCCGAGTCCAGGTGTAACTTAAATGAATCATCAGTGCGCTTTGGGGAACATGTAGATTTTAAAATAACTCTGCCATTAACATATTCACCAACCGCATTGCACTTTTCACACGATGCATATCCTGTATGATTTTTTATGCATTTTAAAAATGCCTTTGCAGGTGCGTCACATACAAAACTGTGAATTTTTATTGTGTAACGCAGATTTAAATACTTTAAACCATTTTTCAATAAATGTTCTAATTCCTTGATAAATTCTTCCAGATATGCATCAAGAGGTTTTGGTTTTGAAGTTCCACAAAATACGGCTACCACAAAGGGATCACTTTTAATATTGGATATTACACGTCCTAAAATAGGCCATATTTGAAGAGATGAACTATTAAATTATGGAAGACCATCTATATTAAAACTTATTCTTATTTCATTTAAATTGAAATCTTTATTTTTTATAAGGAAGTTATTCAAATGTTTCTTTAAACCAAGGTAACACAATTCACCATTTCCAATTTGTTTTACATTTAATTTTCTACTAGTTTTAAGAAGGGTGCGACTATCCAACGGTAAATTGGGATGATATTTAGAAAGGACATGCAAAAGGTTATTGACTGCTGAATGATGAACTTTAGAATGAATTGCCCATTTTCTGAGATCGTTGATAAGTGTCATAGAATCATTTGGAGCAGTACATTGCTCATCAGTACGATTTTGGTTTGAAATATAAGTTGATTGAGTTTCCTGTACATTTTCAGCCTCAGAAAAACTACATTCCTCATTTTCTGAATCAACATTATCATTTTCAAAATCTACTTGAGAAAAGTTATCCTCAGATAAATTAGAACTTTCACTTCCGTGATTGTGACTTTTGGTTTCATATGATGCTGCTTCAACATGACTAAGACTAACTGAAGTTTCCTGTTCAGTAAAAGACGTTGATTCTTTTCCAATGCTAAGCATATCATGATTTACTCTTCTATAAATTTGTCGATGTGAAATAAATTGTTTTTTCTTACGTTGGCTCATTATCATGAACTGTGCATTTACAATAACTCTATATCTTACTTAGTACCAAAAATAATGTAACAAAAAGGTAATTCATATAAAATTCATAAAAATCAAATCTCTACCTATGCACCATCCCGACGTCACTGGAGTTCCCATTTCGATTCTAGTCTAACACGTTGTGGAGCATGTTTCAGCCAAGTTTTTATAATGTTTTCAACATCTTGCTCTGTTGCAGTAAGTTGTGACTTTTTAACTGCACCTAATTATCATTAAATCGTTTAACAGCTACTAATTATACAAAATTTAACTTACGAATAACTAGATCCTTAAAGAGAGTGTTGTTTATTGCTCGTTTATTTTGCCTTTTCCCAAAAAAACTAAATTTAGTGGCCAAGCTATTGCTGATGCAGCGTTTTAATATTCGGTTTGTGGTTGTAGTGGCATCTTTTCCACCCACTGTAGACAAATACTAAAACAAAAGAAAACAGTGAACAGTTAATTTTATGTTTGTAATTTAATGTAATCCTAAGTACTTATTTCATCTAACAAATTGTGTTACTTACAACAGCTTCTAAATTAGTAGTTTCTCGTAAATACTCCTCAAAGATGTTAAAATCATTAAATGTGCTTATCGGGAAGTTTATAGGTACATTTGCTGGTAGGGAGCAAGGAACTGCAGATGGGGCTGATGGCGATTGTTGGCACTGTATCCACGACAAAATTTGTTGGTTCTGGTGCTTCACATGCAAAACTAATCTTAGTAACTTATCCTCAAAATCATTCCTAGTAGCGCTAGAAGTAGGCGTATTGCGAGGTGTATTGCAACGAGTAGTTCCCGCAGATGAAGGAGATGTATTCCGTTGTTGTTCTTCGCCTGATAACAATAATTTTTTTCAGTATGCATAGTACCTAGTGTATGTGGATAACAACACAAAAATATAGGTACATACGTATAAAACTGGACTGAGATTCAAGATTTGACGATTTCGGACGAGGGAACCTCCTGGGCAATTTGTCCTCTTCTGATCCCGACTCTGAAGAGTGCTCGGAAGACGTCAATAACCGTCTTGGAGCTTTCCTTTTCCTTTTCGCTGTTTCATTATCTGTTTGTACATCAGACGTCACTTCTGTTAATTTAATTTTTTGTAAAGCTTTCTCATAATCATCTACAATTAAAATCGACATTGCTATTACCTACTATTGAACCATCACATGCAGCTACACTTACCCTCTTCAAAAAAAATACGTGAAACTTTATATAATTTCCAAGTGGTTTCGGATGGTGCTTCGTGGTTTTTTAAAGAACGATAGTATTGTTCTTGTGTTCTGTAAGGTGGCCAAAACACCTCCTGCTTTCTTGGCGTCAACCAACTTTTATTCACAATTGCGATAGTTTCTCCCTCTTCAAATTGCACACCTATGAATGACATTCTAAAAGTTAAGCAAGTTATTTTGATACCTATTCTGAATACATACTTACATAATGTAGCTGCTTAACACTTAAAACAGTTTTTCACTATTAACTTCAAATTTGAAGCATTTGAAGTTTTTATTTTTATCGTGGAAAAAGAATAAAACACGTTGAGCAGGTGCATTAATTGAAATGGGAAATGGCAGTCGCCACAGACCATGCAGTCGCCGGCCGGGAGGTTACCATGCGATGCGACGCACAATGATGTGCGCAACGTAAATGCGCGGGAAGCTTAAGTAACAGTGTCGGCATTTTAGACTTTTGACCTTTGGTAGTTAGTAATTACCAACTATTCACCAATTATTTAATTTAATTATAATTTGGTAGTCCATTCGAAATAATCCTTTAATTAACTCACGAATATGGAACCAAAATAAGACGTCATCACACTGACGTCATTTTGACGTTTTCTAAATGACGTCAACAAGACATACCCATTAGGGAAAGTGACGTCATTGACCAAAAGTTACCAATATCTAACGTCTACATGACGTGAGTGTGCTACCTGGGTAAAGCCAGCTGACAATTCTAAAACGTATCATTTCGTTAGCTACCCAACATTAATTTTTATATTAGATTCTCACTATCATTGACATGACCAGACCAATGATGTAAGTCAGTGTAGGTAACTTATATTTCAAATGTGAGTAAAATATCTCCAAAACTGCAGAAGATATAAAGGAAAAACTTAAAAAATGTTGGAATTTTAACACCCTGTAGATCAGTAACGAAGCGCTTGCTTCGCTTTATATGAATTTTTAGTCATAAAATAAGCTAAAGAATTAGTCCCTTCCGTATTTACATCATATTTAGGACCACTCTGTATACGTTATTCCATATTTTATACGAATAGAACATATACGTCTTTCGCTATAAAAACCGTTGCACGTCATTGATTTGTGTATCAATTTCAGACATCTGCAACACTGCAACATGTACAAAAAAAAACAAGTAATGTGCGAAATCTATAGAAAACTTGTCTGAAATTGATTCATAAATCAATGACGTGCACCGCTTTTTATAGCGAAAGACGCATACACTACATTTATACACTTTGGCAAATAAGTTAATTATTATCTGATGTGATTAGACTATAATATTGGGAACAAGCCACACCCCGTAATAAACCAAATTCACACCTGAATGGACAGCACCTGCATTATCCTCAGATATATAAACACTTGGGTGGTCTACATGTGCAGCAGGTGACTACCCGCACTGATTACTTCCAAATGTTTCACGGTATTTACTCTATAATTACCCAATGTGTTGCAATTAATATATTTGAATCTTTACACTTTCATGCACGGTTGGTAAGCTTGTCGCCATTATTACAGTTGAATATGTAGTAATCCCCACATGAGTATTCAAATCCTAGCAATTAAGCAGCCAGTATAGGATTAAAGAACAATTCTACTGAAAATAATATGTTATATGGAGTAATCTGACTGTTGTTTATAAAGTTGTCCCTAATCGCTAGACTCCCTCGTTTGAAAGCTCTATAAAGCTTACTCGTACCGAGTTGTTCTGAGTACTAGGAAGATGTTCATTTCAAATTTAAGATTAACTGACAAACACTGCCACTGACAACGTTACACAAATGTACACAAAGCTTTAAGCATCACAATTATGCCTGGTAGTTTATTAAACACTAACGAAAACTTACATTTGCACATTCAGCAGCAGCAAACTTCGATTAAACAAACCGCTTTGCGGCATTAAGTGAGAAATGACTTGTTTGATTGTGGGCAAATATTTTGTTTGTTTAGTTTTCATCGAGGATTAAAATTAAACTTAAGTTCAACGAGCAAACGACGCTTTGTAAAATTATGGCGAGATTAAAGCCACTTCGGTTTGTACAGTAGAATTAAGTTTAATTGTTTAGGAACCCGAAATTCGTCAAGTGACAATTTAATTTCCTTTCTTACTTAATACACTCCGTTAAGCCGCACGGTATTGCAGAACTTTCTCGTAATACTACTTTTGAAGTTTGTGGAACTTTGTCTCCAGGTATTGAAATTCGATGTACCTACTTGTAATCAGATGTCCAATTCACTCGACCAGGGTGTCTCAGTCTCAAGATACTCTATGTTGAGTGATTAGGCTGTCATAGTTATTAACAAAAGTAATGTTTCACGTTTAGTAATACACGTAATCTTTACGTCCTCAGTAACAATACAATTTTCATTTGAAAATTATGTAACAAAGCTGGATGATAATTGAGTAGTGTCTAAAGTCTAAACCAAGGATGAATAAACATATGTTCGAAAAAAACTCTCTGACTATTTCACTCAATTTGAGCGGCCAATCCTTTATGATCATACCACGTATTTTGGTTACCATTTCTGGGTTGGTAACACTTTTGGGTGGATCCGATCGGTGTTCATCAAGAACATTTTGAACGACCGCGTTTGAGCTCAAGCATTTTTTATCATGGTATATGAAGGGGAAGAATCGTCTAATACATTCTTCATCTCTTCAAATATTTCTAAATTTTTCAACCCTTTCAAATGTAAAGCTTTTATCACAGCACGTTTTCCAAATTGTCCATTTCGATAATATTACCATACTATAACACAGTATACTATATTACTAAACACGGTCAGTTGAAAATCGTTTTGATAACTAATTACTTGACAGATCACTAGAAAATTGTCAGTCCTACCAACCAATTGGAAATAACTTAATGGTAGAAATGACACTTATATACTAGTTGTTTAAGTATTAAGGGCATAATAGTGATGTTTATATTCTCGAGGGCGACGAATTAAAAAAGCTCGAGGGCTGATAGAGAAAAGAATCAATTTCTACCAATCATAGTCCTCCTATTTGACACCTTGTAGTGGTCGATTATAATTCCTTATAGCTCAAGAGCGGATTGTCGATGGAGGGTACTGGCAAAGGGCTATTGGGACGTCTAGAACAATGGTGACCTTGAAACTGTAAGAGCGAATATCTTGACAACGGTTTGTTGGAGAAGAGTACTCACAAAGGCAAAATGAATCGTCTGGACGACACGTCTATTGAAGCCGAAGCGAATATCTTGAAAACGAATTGTCGTAAAAGGATACTCATAAAGGGCACGTGCAACGTCTGAACGAGGCGCATCTACTGATGATATCAACACTTTTAGTGGAAATATCTGCCGAACGGAGTATCCGAGGAGGGTACCGTCAAAGGACGGAAAGATGTCCTGCACCAGACATATCTACCGGCGATGTGAAAACTTAACTTGAATATATCGAAAATGTTGGATAAAGGCACTTACAAAGGGACAATGCAATATTTCGGAGCATTTATCTAAGTTCTTGTATAGATTTTGAATGTATACCAGGCGATCTCCCTCCCCATTAATAATCTAAGATCCCACATACGGCCAACCTTCGCCCATCTGCTTACCGAGTGAAATACATTTTTAGTCATCTTAATATGTATAAACAAACACATTGGAAATGGGTTGCCTAAAAAAATTAGGTCAAGACTACCCTTAATGTGAATTAATGTAACTCCTATTTCTGTCTGCTGTTACGCTGCGCCCGGTTGTCGCAATTAGCCCACGAGAGAGAAACATATGTATTGCTCATTGTGAAAGAGACGGACGCAACGTAACAGCTGATCGTTGGGTACGCATCAATGTGAGAGGAGTGCGCTTGTGCTCTTTACATGTGATAGAAGCAGACAGAAATATTATTTACATTAATTTTAACTTATGGGTACTCTTGACTTAATTTTTTTAGGCAACCCATTTCCAATGTAGTCCAGTCAATAGAGACCTAAATAGGGGAGTTTAGTCAAAAATTTGGTGTCCAAGAGGTTATGACTGATTCTTATGTATTTTTTGGCGTAGATTCCGAATTTTTAATCTCCCACCAACCTTAGGGGGTGGGAACCCCCCCAAAAATGCAAAAAACCCCAAAATTTCGGCCCAAAATTCAGAATTTTGGAAAAATCTCGCTAAATTTAGATTTTTGGCCCAAAGTACCTTAGTTCAAAATTAAAGTACACAAAATTTGCAGGAAAAGTGATATATACACTTTTGGTCTAGGACCAACGGGGGCGGAGATAAGAGGGAGGTCAAAAAAGGGTACTTTGTTGGAAAACGTGAAAAAAACGGAATTTCTCTGAATAACTCTCTAAATGTTGGTTTTAGAGAAAAAACTCAAAGGACCAAAATGAAAGTAGACGAAAAATTACTTCGGAAAGTGCACGTGTGCGGAGCCGATGAAGGGGGGGAGGAGGGGGAGGGGGCGAGCGCAAAACCTCTCTTCCTGGCGCCGCGCGACGGCACTGGCATAAGGCGCTATACGCGCAGTTTCGGGTATCTCTGGCGGCCTCGGTCCCGGTCATAACGGATGCTTCTTTGTCCTTATTTTAGAAAGGGGCCTCTGGCTTCCCCCTCCCTCTTGTTGGTCGTTTGTATGCTTTTTGTGTCCTCTGGAAACCAGTTCAAGATCCTTCTTCAGTGCGTCTGTGTTGTCGCGTCGTGCGCATCACGCTATATTGCTCCGTGCTTATTTACTATTTTTCGCCTGAGCCAGTAGAGGTTGAGTTTTTATTTAAAGATGGCCTAAAAAAGTGCGAAAGTAACGTTTCTTGCTGTCCGCCATGCAAATCAGAATTTCAGACAAATACTACAATCTCCCCCAAAAATTGTAACTCGAGCACTAAATAAACAAGTACAATGCGATCAAAAATGATTGGCTCTCTAGTCGCCTTTGGAATTTTTGTTTACATGGGAAATCGTATCTAACTTGAACTTCCAAAGGCGACTCGACAGCCAATCATTTTTGATCGCCCGATATAAATTGTGCACAACCCCTGTGCAGATAAAGCGCATTTTTTTAACCGAAATAGCTTTTGTATGGACATCACCAATGGATATATTTCTTGCAGACGTTTCAATCGCCCTTTGATAGTACCCTCTTCCGACAATCCGTTCTTAAGGTATAAGGTAATATACCCGATCACGATAAGAGGTCGAGGAGGAGGGCTATGGTTGGTAGAAATTAATTCCTTG